CGCTGTCCCTGTCTTGACTGGTAAACAGTGATTTTGGAAAATCAGGCATAACTACGAAGTCGGCCTCTTTTCAGCACGTGGTCTGTGTCTTGACTGGTAAATAGTGATGTAAGTGCTGTCTTGACTGGTAAACATTGATGTAAAGGCTGTAGGACTAGTAAAGTCGGCCTCTTTTCAGCACGCAGTCCCTGTCTTGACTGGTAAACTGTGATGTAAATGCTGTAGGACTAGTAAAGTCAGCCTCTTTTCAGCACGCAGTCCCTGTTTTGACTGGTAAACAGTAATGCAAATGCTGCAGGACTGGTAAAGTCGGTGGCTTCTTTTCAGCACGTGGTCTCTGTCTTGGCTAGAAAACACTAGGGCGCCTAGTTAGCTCTCCACCGCGATTGGTAGAAGAAAAACCAGTGCACTGAGGTTAGTACAGGGCGCTTAGTGGCCTAACCAAGACCAATGACCAGGCTCGTTAGCCTCTGTAGACAGCTCTTAGCTTGATTTCACGAGCTTGGTCTCCAACAAAAGTTCATCCATCTCCAAACGTAGAGCAAAGTCGGTGGCCTCTTTTCAGCACGTGGTCTCTGTCTTGGCTAGAAAACACTAGGGCGTAGTTAGCTCTCCACCGCGATTGGTAGAAGAAAAACCAGTGCACTGAGGTTAGAACAGGACGCTTAGTGGCCTAACCAAGACCAATGACCAGGCTCGTTAGCCTCTGTAGACAGCTCTTAGCTTGATTTCACGAGCTTGGTCTCCAACAAAAGTTCATCCATCTCCAAACGTAGAGCTCCAGGAGAGTGCGCCTAGTTAGGTGGCTTCGTGGCTGCGACTGTAAAATTAGTGACTACTGGGCGGCTGGAGACCTGACCTAACCGGTCAGGCCACAGCAATCTGGCTCATAAGCTCCGCATAGCGTTTTGGTGAAGACGTACGAATAGAATGCATTGAACTCCATTTGACCGATTCTTCTTGGTGTGATTTGCAAACATTGCCCTCAGATTCATCAATACGGTTCGTCAAGGCATTCTGACTCGTGTTTGGTGCGCACTAGGACAAGAAGTCATAAAGCAGAGCATCAAGTGGTTCACATGCCATAATTTGCTATACTGCAGTCTACCTCAAATACTTACAATATAATATACGTACAAGCAGCTGGATCACATTCTAACGGCGGCCATCTTTGCGAGTTTCTTCTGCTGCCGTCCTCTGTGTGCCTTTTCACGGCGCGCCGCCTGCCTTTGTCTCCTCTTTGCGACTTGGTCCGATGACCTGAGGCTCACTCCATGTACTCGCTCAACATGACCTCGAAAATGGTCCACGTGGTCAAACTTCTCCTGCCTGCATTTCGGATGGCCACACCAGATCGCCTCACCACGTCGCTCGGCTGTCTCTCGGCGGCCCAAGTGCTCGTCGTCAAAGTGGTCATTCAGTACCGGCGGACGGCAATACTTAAACTTCCGCGCCTCGACCGGCATCTGCTCGTCACCAATGCAGTCTGGGCATTGCGTTGTTTCCATAAGCAGTGGGAAAGGATCCGGCCCGAAATCTAGTTCCGACGATGCGTCACTTTCCGGCGACTCTTGCTTGATAGAAGCCTCGATCCTGGCTGGCCGCTGCGCGCGTCTAGTTTTGCCTGTTTCCTTCTTATCACAAAGAGCCACCATCAAGTCTATGGCCTCAACTCTGTATTTGAAAAGCTCATCATCTGTCCAGCCATCGGGCTGCAGGCACAGAATTTCGGCCAATCTTGCCTGTTCCGGTATGACAAGGTCAATTGCTGGCTGCTCGAATTCTTCGTCCACCTCGCCGCGGGCTTGGGCCTCAATGTCCCAGGTGGGACGGTTGTAGAAATAGTATTCGCGGTATTCTTTCACAGTCATTCTATCGCGCTGTGTCCGCTTGTTTCTGATCTCGTCCGTGAGCGTTCGTATTCTCTCCTCATGCTGACTATCCTCAATTCGATACCTTCCCTGCTTAAGCTTTGTGCGCTCCTCCTCCAACTCCACAATCTCGGGGTCGGGAGGTTGATTCGCCCATACTGCATCAGGCACCATATCCCGAACGGCACGAGGGTCGCGGGTGAAGCTCACATGTGCAAACATGCGAAAGAGCTGACTTTGCTTCTCCTCCTCCAGGAAGGCATTCTGGAGATCAAAGTTGGCAATCTCGTTCAGATACGCAGAGAAAAATGTGGCGAATTGAGGGTCATGCCGCATCATCTGATCGCGGACCGAATCCGGTGCGTCGCCTAGCAGAGTTAGCATTAGTGTCGATGATGGTGGCGGCATGTGCAATCTCTGGCATACCATTTGCGGCGTTCGCCGCACCTCGTCGGGCAAACCTGGGCGTCCAAGCCTTCTCGTGGCCGGATTCCAGGCTCTGCCGGCCCATATCATAACTCAGCTTAGAGTAGAGCATCGCCTCGTTTTCAGACAACGTTGCACCGTTGATGCGGCGAAAAACAGGGACTTTCAATTTCTCCTTTTTCCAACGGATGGGCATGCAATCTTGAGGACCCCAAACATCCTTCGAGAGCAGACTATTCGCATCGGTTAGGCACGACGCATCGAACGCATGGTCATGTAGGGCCAGCGCGACGATAACCATGACCGCGTCAAAGATAAGCTTCCTAGTAGGCGTGAAGAAAAAAATCGTCCTAAACATTTCGCAATTAGCAGCCGGCCAGACGGTAGTGGGGTGGTATATGAGGTAGAACACACGGCTTCGGCTTGTTGTCTGCTCCTTTGTGGTGGATGAATTTAATGGCCATGGCCAGGACAGGCTTTCCTGTAGCGGGGTGCCGCACCAGCATCAAAAGAATGTCCTCATAGCAGAGAGCTTTAGGGCGGCCTCTCTTCGTTGTCTCTCGTAGGAGCATTTTGTTGAGCTCTTTGGAACGCTTGTCTAGCGTCCGGTCCGCGCTGCCGTCGCTGTCCGCTTCTTGTATGACTTTCTGGCCAAAGAGTATTTCTCTGGAGCCATCCTTCGGGCCCTTCCTCTCGTTGTCCACCAACTCTGCAGGTCGTGCTCCAGTGTAACACAGGAGCTGATAGCAGCCGGCCAGCTGGATGCGATGCCGCCCAAGGCTGAATACGCTCGTGTCGTACGCGATGTTGAACGTCAGAATGACCCGAAGACTGTCGACATTAAGGACTGGCTTGCCGTCTATAGTTGGTGCTCGGAGATGGAAGCGAGGTATTAAAACAGTTCGGTGGTACTGGGCTGTGGTCAACATGCATGATTGGGAGCTCCCAGCTAGCGGGCTTCCATACCTTGTAGACTTCCTTTGCATCATTTCTATCCATGTAGCGCCCTGTGACAGTCGTGTAGAGCTGCTGGAACTGGCGGATGTACTCTCCTGAAGAGCCCCACGATCGCACTTTGTAGTTGCCACAGACGAAGAGAAAAAAATCCATCGTAGTGGCGCGGCTCAGGTTAGCAATCGTGGCTCGCCAGTCGCCGACATTCATCTCATTGCAGTAGCTGCACCAGGGTTAGCTGTGGGCTCTAAGATAGGCTTCTAGGCGATCTTGGCGTACCGTTTCCATCTTCCCAAGATGCCGGAGACGTTGATCTCCGTTTCGGCAGAGTAATTCGGCTGCACGAATTGAACAGTGCTGAGACACTCCCGATTGGCGGCATGCTGCTCGGCCGAGAGCGGCGCAGGCTTTGCTGCTTTTTCGAGCTGCTTGGCTTTTTGAAACTGGAGGAAGTCCAGGTGGTGGTTGTCTGGAGCGTTTACATGTCGTGTGCGGGCGACGGCGCTTGGCATCGTGGATGGATCGATTCTGTTGACCTGGTGCGCGGGTGGCCAGGGTTGGAGGCCACAACGGTCTTAGGGGGATGAATGAAAGGAGAAAGAAAGGGCAACGAGGACGCCGCCGCTCTATATACTGTAGTGCTGGGCATTCTGGTGGTAAAAGCTGCTGAAGTACGTGGGCAGCGAAAATAGCACACGGCCAACGAGCAACAGGAAACGGGAAGCAGGCTGGTGTGGTCGGTGGAGGGGCCCGTAGGTTGTGTAGCCAATGCCGCCAGAAGTACACGGTACCTGGCAGGGGTGGGCCTGGAGCGTGAATCCCTCACTGCTGTTGCCGCTAAAAACGGCGGCAGAACCCGCCAGATTTGGTGGCTCCAGCAGCGCATCTTGCATTTAAAGAGTAAAAAATAGTATAAAAGGTTATTAAATACTATAATATTTATAATAAAATTAAAAGAATATAATATACACTTTATAAAGAACTATAATTAATACTACTATTAGAAAAAGTATAATAAATAATTACTATAGACTTTATTATTAAATTATTAAAATCTAAAGAACCTATAATAGGAGTATATTATAATAGTATTCTAGTTATTATTAATAAATTAATAAAATATACTTATTATATTCTATATATAGAGTTAAGTAATATAAAAGAATTAGTATATATATTCTT